CGGTCATGTTGTGATGGTGTCCCGATCATGTTTTGATTGTGTCCCAGTCATGTTGTGATGGTGTCCCGGTCCTGTTTTGATGGTGTCCCGGTCATGTTTTGATGGTGTCCCGGTCATGTTGTGATGGTGTCCCGGTCATGTTTTGATGGTGTCCCGGTCGTGTTGTGACGGTGTCCCGGTCATGTTTTGATGGTGTCCCGGTCCTGTTGTGATGGTGTCCTGGTCATGTTTTGGCGGTGTGCCGGTTATGTTTTGATGGTGTCCGGGTCATGTGACGGTGTCCCGGTCATGTTGTGATGGTGTCCTGGTCATCTTGTGATGGTTTTCCCGTCATGTCATGTTGGTGTCCCGGTCACCTTGTGATGGTGTCCCGGTCATGTTGTGATTGTGTCCCACGGTGTCCCAGTCATGTTGTGATGGTGTCTCGCTCATGTTGTGACGGTGTCCCGGTCATGTTTTGATGGTGTCCCGGTCATGTTTTGATGGTGTCCTGGTCATGTTTTGGCGGTGTGCCGGTTATGCTTGGATGGTGTCCGGGTCATGTGACGGTGTCCCGGTCATGTTGTGATAGTGTCCCGGTCATGTTGTGATGGTGTCCCCGTCATGTCATGCTGGTGTCCCGGTCACCTTGTGATGGTGTCCCGGTTATGTTGTGATGGTGTCCCAATCATGTTGTGACGGTGTCTCGGTCATGTTTTGATGGTGCCCTGGTCATTTTGTGATGGTGTCCCGGTTATGTGATGATGGTGTCCAAGGAAGAGATGGTCGATGTGTTGAAAACAGCAGCTGTTTCTAGATTTTTCTTTTTGTCCCGGTTTGTATCTTGCTATTGGGGTCTCCAGCTGGGCTAATTTTTCTGCTTTTGGGATCCTTTTCTTCATATCTCACACCGGGTCATGTCGCCGATTCGGTGCCATGTCGTCGAGTCGCCGACCCAGCGACTCGCTCCGATGGGTGCTATTCGGTGGGGTTTTGGGTTCGTGAAGCTCCCTTTGGCGGGTTTTTTTCGGGTGATTCGGCCGGGCGGAGAACACCATCGAAACTGCCAGATCTCTTGAGATGGACACATCGGTGGGCTTCATGTTGAGCCGGACCACATGGTGTTCGTGGGTCTTTTCCAAACGGTGAAGATGCTTTCCACTTCGAGTGACGCGGTGACGGTGACGGGGGGGGCAGGAGTCGATGTGGAGTTTTCAGAATCCCTCTATATAAACACATGTAGACATCTCCAAGCCATCTCTAGAACTGGGACTCAAAAGAGACACAGCTGACAGTTGGAGTCTTTTTCCCCAAACAGTTTACTGTTGGGGTTCTATCTTAGAAAAAAAGGAGCTGGCCACACTCACTGGCCGCGCCCCTGAACTCTGTGGCTGGGCGCTGTGGCCCGGCTCTGTGGCCGGGTCTTGTCCTCCTGTGGTCCTTGTCTTGGCCGCGCCCCTGAACTCTGTAGCTGGTCTCTGTGGTCCAGCTTACTGGAGAGGAGTGTGGCCGAACAAATAGCGATGTCAATGCCGACAAAAATTCCTTGATGAAGCAGTTTGCTCTTGGGGTGAAGGTAGTGCTTACCAAGAAATCGATTTTTGATTAATATTGGTCTAAGCGAATCGTTTTGAAGCTGTTTGGGGTCTATGCTGGTATAATGAACTTACTGTAATCCACTTTGTTGGGATGGACCATCAGGTGGATGCTTACTTTGAAGCCTTGGCCAAAGAGCACAGCAACGCCAGTGTGAAGCTTTCCACTTCGCTGCGCGGTGCACCAAGCCACTGGGAAACGATGATCGTGAGAAGATCGGGTGGAGGTTGGAAGCCATTGAAAATCCGGAGACGGTGAGATGTTCCCATATAGTTTCTACCAACTGGTGGCTATTTCAGCATGAGGGAATGAGAGAATGAGAGATGTCGACCATCCACTTGAGGCCATTCACATTTTCAGGAAGTTTTGATTATTTTTTCACTGGGTTGGGTGGAAAATGGACGGGTACCACCGAAGCTCACTGATTAGAGGAAGGAGAAAGAACGCTGGTTGTCATTCTTAAACCACACCCGTCTATATCTCGTGAGAGCATTACCTTGCAGTCTTGACCGCAGCCTTCACTATGCACTTTTTTTCCCCCTGGGATCAATAGTTCCAGAATTGATTTGTGTTCCACTGAGTTCCACCCCAAACTTAATTGTGTTCCAGCCTTGTTCCCACTGATCTGTGTCAAGATTGGTCACTTTCAGTTCAATGACCTACCCTCAAGACCACAGACATACCTTCATCCACCTTGTCCGCACCTTTTCACGGAAAGCTCCAACATCCGAACCAACCTCCGAACTGGCTCTCTAGTCGGGTGACTCGACACTGAGCAAGACTGGGCTCCAGTCCAAAGGGAGGAATCTGGAGACCTGCAAGCCTTTGGTCCATGTTGTTGATGTCCTTTTCCCCGTCTGAAGGCTTTATGGATGGATCCAAGTGCGCACTCGGTGTTTGCCAGGCCATTGCAGCCCGGAGGCCTCCAATTGCTGGTCCACGGGAAGGTGTTGCGAGGCGAAATCCCAGTGCTATGTGAAATCCGAGAAGATTGCGGTGTGCAAGAGCAGTTGTGTACCAGGCGCGAAGAAACCGTGGCGGTGGGCATTAAAACCGCAGTAGCGTGTGAACAGGGGGCTGGGACGGCAGATTTGGGTGACATATTTTTCAAAAGCTAGAACAGACGCGTTCTTTACTTGGAAAGCAACAAATAGTAACTAGTAATAACAAGTAACAAGTGACAAATTGCAACAACCAACTCAATTCTTGTTCCTTCATTGACACTTACAGTAAACGAGTCACCTGTCACAACCTGTCACATTTGCCGGAGGTGTGGATGACAAGGACCCTAAGGGCTGGCGCACGCCCTGGTCTTGTGAGCTCCGCGCTCGCGCGGGTGAGGCGCGTGTCAACAGCACCAGCGCAAGCGAGGTCCAGGCGGGGAAGCTTGAATTCGCAGAGTTAAGCATCTTCTCGTTGCAACGGCTAAATGGATCATTGCAGTAAACAAGTAAATCCTTTGAATCGGTGAGTCTTCCGAAGCCCTCAGCGAAGCCATCGCTGGACTCCGTCCGAAGCTACAGAAACGAGAGCGAAAAGGACACACGCTGCGACCGGTTCCGGTTCCGACGGCGGTTCCCGGGTCGCGGATCGCGGAATCGCGCCGCGGATCGATCCGAGCAAGGTGAGTAGCCTGACCTTGAAATCTGCCGCTTCGGTGGGCTGCACCGCCTCCTGGAGCCACAATTGCTTGAGCAGCCCCACTTGCTGCAATGGCGGCCACAAGTGCGGCGTCCAAGTGAGACGTGGGTTGGGAGACAAGGAACAGATGATTTAGAGTATTACTACTGGGAATCTGAGGGTTCCTAGATGTTTAAGGGGCTTGCAGAACATTTCGACAGAAGCGCAAGCACTCAAATCCTTTCTTCAGCTTTGCTTCAGGATTGAACCCATAAAGTAAAACTAGACCCCCTGCAGGCCCGAAAGTTGTAAGCAAAGCATGCGCAAGTCAAGTCTCTGGGAATGGTTTTTTTTGCGACAGTAGTCAAGGTATTTCCAGACAGTTATGTAGATCGGTGATTTTTCGACCAGTCACCGGTGTTTTTTGCTACGGTGACTAGGTTCGGTGTTTTTTGCACCAGTAGTCTGGTGTTTTTTGCGACGGTTCCTCCTGGTCGCTGCTTTTTGCAATGGTTCCTCCACACCGCTGTTCTTTGCGCCGGTGATTATTGTTTTTTTGTCGACAGTGGCGGAACGTGGTATATCAGGAAGCGTCTTTTCAATCAGTACAAGCAGTAGTAGTAGTAGTAGTAGTAGTAGTAGTAGTAGTAGTAGTAGTTGTTGTTCAGAAATTTGCGTTGTTGTTGTTGTTGTTGTGGTTGTTGCCGTTGTTGTTGTGGTTCTATTTGTGGTTGTTGCTGTTGTTGTTGTTGCTGCTAGCGGTGGGGGTTTGTATGGTTGTTATTGTTGTTTGTTTGTTGTTTGTTGTTTGTTGTTTGCTGTTTGTTGTTTGTTGTTTTTTATGTTGTTGGTTGTTGGTTGTGTTTGTTTGTTGGTTGTGGTTGTGGTCTGTTTTTTCATTTTGGAAGTGCTTGGCACGCAGGGGGTTGGGCTTTAAACAGTTTTTCGTGGCAGGCGCATTGGTACAATGTATGTATGTATGTACGTATCTATGTATGTATGGACGTATGTATGCATGCATGCATGTATGTATGTATGTATGT